CTTGTTTTTAGCTACTTTCAGCTGTTTTGTGCTCCTCTCAGATTCTTTCTACTAACTACAACATTTTTGTGCTTCTTCTAACTTCTTTCGGCTAATTTCAGCTTTTTCTGATATTTCAGCTACTATTTAGCCATTTTTATGTTCATTTTAGCTTTTTAACCAATTCTCATTTTTTGCACTCATTTCTACTTTTAGCTTAATTAAAATAATTTAAGCCTTTTTCCTCCTTTCAGCTTATTTGTGCTAGTTTCAGTTATTTCAGCTACTATTTAGCCGTTTTTATGTTCATTTTAGCTTTTTAACCAATTCTCATTTTTTGCACTCATTTCCACTTTTAGCCTAATTAAAATAATTTAAGCCTTTTTCCTCCTTTCAGCTTATTTGTGCTAGTTTCAGTTATTTCAGCTACTATTTCGTTGTTTTTATGCTACTTTTAGCTTATTCAACTAATTCCATTTTTTTTAGCTCATTTCAGCTTTTAAGCCATAGTTTAAGCTTATTTCTGCTCATTTCAGCTGTTTTAGCTAATTTCATAATTTTTGTGCTCATCTCTGCTTATCTAAACCTAATTCAGTAAATACGTGTTCTTTCTACTTTCTTGTGCTAATTTAGGCTTGTGCTTCCATTTCAGCTACATTTCAGCATGCCTTTTAGCTGATTTCAGCTGTTTTTCAGCAAGTTCTTCTGCAATAAGCGTTCACGCTGCATTTTTGCAGGCGCCGCAGTTTCTCTAGTTTCATTAATGTCGCTGCTCTCGACCGAGGAAGATGCTGGCGGTGAGCAGGCCCATGTCCGAGGAGCTCAGCCGCAGGTCGCAGCGCGCCGTCGGCAGCAGGAAGGACACGCACAGGATCTCCACGGCGTCGCTGGCGTTGGCCCAGCCGCACACCAGCAGCAGCAGCCAGTGGAAGCGCCCGAAACCTGAGAGCAGGACCAGAACAAAGACTGTTAAACTATAAAACCTGTTTTTATCTCCTCCACGGTCAGAAGGAACAAAGTCAGCAAAAGGAAGCGCGCGAGGAACACAAACGATTCGTCAGCTGAACACTTCTATGTGGGAGCTTTTTAACAAACTGTTTTTATTGAACGATCTGTTTTTGGACTCTCCCAAACCTAAACTTTCTTTTTTTTCCTGCACGAGCTTGAATTCTAACACCCAGCAGCGTTCCTCCTCTGATTGATGACAAAAACCACGGAGATGAAGGCTCCAGCTCACCTGCTCGCTCCACGGCTTCCTCATACGACAGCTTTTTGGTCGCAGCTTCGTCGAGCTCGTTCGGTCTCGTCCTGTCGAAAATTATTTCACCTGCGGGTCGACAAAACACACGGAGACGTGAAAACACGCGCTTGACGTTAAAGAGTTTCCACGGATTTCATTTTGTAACTCTGCTGCGAAAACTTGTACCAGGACTAAGTTATCTGGTTTACAGGATGTTTACATGGTGAACTTGTTCATCAGCTGCTGAAGGCGATGAACTAACTGATAAGTATCTGACAGTAATGATCAGTAAGATGTTCAGCTTCATCTAACCCTTCACAGCAGAGCAGCTTTGCTCTGTGTGAGCAGAAACCTTGACGCTAAAGTGGCCCCCACACCTTAACCCAGTTCAGCTTATTTCTACAGCACCAAGCCACAACAGAAGACGTCTCGGGGCACCGAGCAGAAACATCCACACACATTATAAAAGCCACTTCGTAAAAGTTCTGTATCTGAGGAAGCAGCGGATTGTGTTGAATCTTCACTTCGTCACGGTCTCCCATCCTGAGCGAGCACAACGGAGACAGTGGGAAGGAAAAAGTCCCTTTATCAGGAAGAAACCTCCAGCAGAACCAGGTGTCACTGCACGATCTGCGCTGGAAGCACGATCCGTACGGCAGCTCATTTGCACGACTATTCTTAAAATAAAGGTCTTGTGTTGTCAGGAATGTGTCCACCAGGGGGCGCACTGGCAGCGTGAATACATTACTGTCCAAAATACACATTTTTCTACTGAATTATCATTTTGAACGTAAATGAAGGCACTTCTTCATAAACCGAATTATAACATTGGAGAATTAATGTATAGAAAGAGATATTTTAATATCAGTAAACATGGTATGTTTC